TAGTTGGCGTGGTAGCTGCTCTCGGTGCCACTGTGATGAGCCTCCCTAGGCTTTAAAAAGTTACCTCTCCGCTGCTTGCTTTAGTCGCTAATGCAAACCTCCCCTCAGTGGGTTCGAAAATACGTTTAAAATGCTCACAATTGCAACTGTACTGTATTAATTCGGCCTCCACCACTAGAAAACCAAGCATCTGCAAACAGAACGAAAGGAGAGAACTGGAACAGATCAGAACTTGAACAGAAGGTTGTTGGCTGTGTTCCCTAAAAGTCTTCATGCTCTTAAGGCAAATGCTAAATCACGTCTCTCTGCTTGTTCAAAGTGAAAAAAGGAATTCGGTGTCTGAAACCACCTTCCACAGCCACCGACTGTAATGCAAAACTCATTCTATCAAACTTTTATGATTCAATCCCTGTAATTATCTTTAATTGACTTCACTGCGCACATAAATATTATCTTGTCCATAATAAACGTTAACGTCTTTATTTCCGGCTGTGATGGTTCTTAAGGCGCGGAGGGGATGAAGTGCTGGCGTGGACCATTTCCCACCTTTGGTTAAAAACGCCACCAACTATTGAGTCCCTACCACGCCCACTAAACACCCCACCCACCCTTTGTCTGTGTTGTTAATGAGGGGGGGGGGGGGGTCCTAGAGGTTAAACGGCCTGATGATAGGGGTCAGGGCACTGCAGGCTGCGACCTCCGACCTTTCGCCACGTGTTGAGCGTTCCTGTGGTGCCGACACGCTGCTGCTGCCGTGAGTGAGCTAGTAAATCAGTGAGCGGGGACCTTTGACCCCTAACTTGTTCCTGAGAACACACACATAGAGAGTCAATGCTCCGACGTATGAATGGAGGGTTGCTGTGTGTGTGTGTGTGTGTGTGTGTGTGTGTGTGTGCGTGTTCATGGTGGACGGCAGTCGGCGAGAGTGTGTTAATTTGAAAAGCTCCACCTGTTAGACACCCAGCAGCAACTTACTGTTCAGCTGCTTGCTGAACTTCCAGTAGGACGAGGGCACACTGGATGAATCTAGGTCAGATCTGGCTTTTAACATGCAACGGTTGCATTTCAGCGACAACACCAATCCACTTTCACACCTTTTATTTATGATTTATTCATCATTTTGTCTAGAAAAAAAATCTGAAAATACCTTTTTCTTAAAAGTGACATGGAAGCGCAAACAACAGAATGATTATTTAAAGGTTAACTGATTAAAATAAATCCAATATTTTTTTTCCTAATTACCTTTTGTCCACAAATGACCAAATATGGAGGTGGAGGCTTGGACCCCAAATACCAGGATTTACATCCTGACTAGATTTATACACTGCAAACTACACTTTGTTAAGGAAGAATAAAAAGATTGCCATCCGTCCTTAAACAAGGATTACAGAAGTCTCACCGTGCCAAAACCAGAATATCAAGTTCATTCGTTTATCAGTGAGACTTTACACAAGGAAACCCAACATATAAATACATAAATAACGGATCGGCCTGCCGTCACCGTTCCGTGATCTGACTATTTGATATCTGTCCGATATCAAGTGTGACTGAGCCAATTGGAAATTAAACTCTTAAATTAAAAGTGTGATGGGGAGGACAAGTCGAAATGCTATGATTATTATTATTATTATGATCATTATATTTAAGACAGGACTTTAGCCAACAGAACCTCTTAAAGAACCAGAAACACGGACAAAGTGCAGAAACGAAGGGAAACACAAACCAAACTCAACACCAAACTGAAACCAACTTCGACGGCCAAGACTTCTGAGCTTTTAATGTCCCGCTGCTGAACACTCAGAGGATTTAATAATAAATGGTTGGCGGTGTGCTGTGGTTTCCGCTGGCAACACCGTAGGTCCTCAGCCCTCCCTCCTCCTCCTCGAGCAGTGCGGGGATAAATTTAATTAGCGACTCTTTGACGTCCTGACAGGCTTTGCCCCCGGTGCTGCCGGCCCCCCGAGCTCAGTCCGAGCTTCACGTGGCTTTTAATCAACGCCGCCGCTCCAGAATAGCGCTGCTGCCTTAAATCAGAGGGACAAACCCGATCCTCCTTTCCCCCGATCTGCTTGTCTGCCTCTCAAGAAGTCCTGAGCAAACCCCAATTTATTCAAACTCAAACCCCCACTTTAAACCCAAACCCCAGTTTATTCAAACCCAAAACCTCGGTTATTCAAACCCAAACCCCAGTGTGAGCGCAGAGCGCGGTTTATTAAACCCAAACCCCAGTTTAAACCCAAACTCCCAGTCTATTCAACCCGACCTCGGGTTATTCGAACCAAACCCCAGTTATTCTAAAGAAACCCCAGTTTATTGAACCCCAAACCCCGGTTTTATTCAAACCCAAACCCCGAGTTGTATTCAAAGAGCAAACCCCCAGTTTATTCAATCCCCAACCCGCTGTTTATCCAGACCCCAGATCCCCAGTTTATTCAGAGGCAACCCCCAGTTTATTCAAACCCAACCCCCGGTTTATTCAAACCAAAACCCCCAGTTTATTCAAAAGCAACCCCAGTTTTATCCAAACCCAAACCCCGGTTAGTTCAAACCCAAACCCCAGTTTATCCAAAAGCAAACCCCAGTTTATTCAAACCCAAACCCCAGTTTTATTCAAAAGCAAACCCCAGTTTTATTCAACCCCGGACCCCAGTTTATTCAAAAGCAACCCTCGTGGAAGTTTTTTTAATCCGGGCCAAACTCCAGAGTTTTTTCCAGTGTCAACCCGCAGAACCGCGACCACAAGGCCGGCAGTAGCGAGCGCTCCCCCCCCCCCCCCCCTTCATGGACTGAAGGGAGCTCAGTGTGAAGCTGCACACGGCTAATCGCTGCCACCTCACAGTGAACACACGCACACACATGGGGGGGCATCTAGAGAGAGGAGGGGGAATGGAAGCTGTCTCTGGGCTCTGGGAGGGTTCGGAGCGCCAGCGATGTCTTTCACTGCTTTTTCTGACATTAAAAATGTTCGCATGAACATCGTCTTGAAAAGCAAGTTTTTTAGATTTTTGTGTAACAAAGGAACATTGTGATATTTTGAGGCTATTTCAGAGCTTTCAGCAGCTGGAGTAATTTCCATGCTTCATTCTATTTAGAGATTTGACTAAAACTTCAACAATTTATCTTGAAGTTCATTAAAAAAAATGACTTTAAAGAAATACTTGAAACTGTTATAATTGGAACCAGGTTTAATAAAACTGTGGGAACTCCATTGCTGAGAGGAAAAGTAGGACATTCTGAAGTATCACTTTCCCCTGTGAATTACTCTAATAGTGGATCTTGTGGATTATTTTTTAGGAAAACTCCAAAGCCCCAAACAAACTCAGAAGGAGCTCCGTGCCAAGCACTTAACGTGCTGCCAAAGGCCTCCACCGCACTGCACGCTCGCTGCTGCACGCTCCCGTACTTCAACCAGCCAAACGGTTTTCCCGTGGAATCAGTGGGAAATCAGGGAAAACGTGCTGAGCAATCGCTCCACAGATAATCGCTTGGTGTTTTTTCTTGAACGCGGAAGGTGTGCCAGCTTCACCCAGAGAACCCAGCGAGCTGCTGCCGCTGTCAGAGGACCCGGCGGGGGGACGGGGTTCTGGCACAGACCTCTTTTTGTTTCCCTCAGACTTCTGCTTTACTGACCGCTGATGAAGTTGCGCCTGTCTGCAGCTGATAACAGCGCTCGTCTCGGAGAGGGAGCTGGATTTTTCATCCTTCAACCACCAGATAAACAAGTGTCATCAACAAACTGATGTCTGTGTATCTGAACCCTACAGGAAAACCGATCTGAAGAATCCGTTTTTTCAGCAGAATCGTTTTCAGCAACTTTTCAGGAAGTATGAGAATGATTTGGCATTCAAATCACAGATTCCTCCGCAGATGAGAGTTTATTCCTTTTTAACTTTAAAATACATCTATTACACCTTTGCCCTAAAAGTCCAGTCATGCATCTTCTTTACCCGATGATGACCATGTGATAAGTCTGAAAAATCCTGAAACGGCTACAAAATGGAGCTGGAGGATGTTTGAGTAGAAGACATGAAGTAAGATTTTGGAAGATACGCCCCGGTAGCAATATAACCGTAGCTACACAACATCCCCTTCTCTTTATCTGTTTCTACCTCTAAGCTGCCAAAAGAAATATCTTTAAAATTAAACAGTTTAAATCTGACATTTAAATCCCTCCAAGAAAACACTTTGCCGTTTTGTGGAATGATTAAGCTGCTTGACCTATTGGCCAAAGTTAAAATATATCTGCTCGGGCCGATAGGAAGAACATGAAGTGGCAGATTTGCTGAAAGATTGCAAGCCTCAATCAAACGGGAAATGAGAGACGGCTAAGAAGTAAAAGCGGAAAGCACGGAGCCAGGATTAAGGTAAGCTAACGCTAACACTGACCTAACATGACGGCTGCTTTCACAACAAGATGCTGTGATTCTCATCACCGGCTGACACATTCTAGGGGCCCAGTCCTCTATTATGTAGTTATAGGTAAGAAAGCACAAACAAATAAACCTACGAATACGGCTGTCACGATATCAAGTTCTTGTTGTGCGATTATTGCACCAACATTTATTGCGATATTATTGCATTTTTTAGACCATTTTATTTTATTTTAAAAGTACGCTATTTCAAAGAACATTTTATTTGTCAGAATAGTTAGAGTTAGAATTAGAATCGGAATGTGAAAAAAAAATGGTGCGATGCGGTCGGGTTCGGTCAGGGAGGTTTGACGCGGGCTTCGATCGCATATTGCGACAGGCCTACCTGCGACGAATAAATGCATCGAACAAGAGGGAAGACAGAGGCCGCCTAATGTCACCCGACTCTTCTCAGAATGCCACCACAAACAGGAGCGGAGTTAGCGGCGGATGTTGCGTGGCGTCGGCGTGTTGACATGTGTCACACGCACACAGTCAGACCAAACAGAGAGCTGCAGCTTCAGCAGCGCGCCGTCACATCTCACACACACACACACACACACACACAGGAAGAAGGAAAAGAGCACTCACCTGCGTGCACAAAGTAAGCCAGGTAGAGATCCAGCTCCTTGACGGAAACTCCAATGTGGTGCGGCTGCACGCACAGGGTGGGGTTCGAACACTGGGGGGACTTTACCAGCCGCTCCCCGTCAGTGCTTTCGAGGGGAATCCCTTTGAATAAAATCACCATGACCAGGTCCAGCCTCCACACTTTGTCCGCCTGACGCAGGCAGTCGATCCGCCTCATCTTGCCCTTCTGGTCGGGGTTGGACAGCACGCAGCACGGCGGCTTCTTCCCCGTCACCGTCAGCACAAAGTCCTCCCGGAACTCGGGCCGGATGTCCTTGCGCAGCTTGGCCAGCAGGCGCGAGGCCCACTTCTGCTTGACCTCGGGCTTCTCGCCCAGCAGCTCGTCCTTCACGGCGCGCTCCTCCTCCTTGGACATGCGCTTCTCGTGCTTCTTGAAGTACTTCCTCTTGCGGGCCTGCAGGTTGAACCACGTGTAGGCGAAGGCCCGGACGTGGGGCAGCAGGGCTTCGATGAAAGGATGGAATTCATCCTGAGGGACGGAGAGGAGAGTGGAGGTGAGACAAGGAGGGAGCAACAAGTTAAATCAACAGTGTTTTTAACACTATCATATATATACTTATGTCTATGATTTGTCTTTGTCTATGATCTTTCTCCAACTCTTCATGGAAGCTGAATCGTTGTTATTTAGAGGTGGTCATAGTCATCCTGATGTCACCTGACACCAGTTATTTGTGCTAACCATGAACAGCAGTTACCATGTTATAAATGCAGAGGAGATGCTGTACACAGCTGTGATAAATAGCAGAGATCTGTCAATCATTTTCTGTGAGTTTGAACCAAGTTACTTTGCACGGTAGAGTTTGTAATGAGTACATAATAGTAGTGAAATGTTAATAGAAAACTGGACAGTACCGTTTACTACCAACTCTTGTTTTCTAGAGTTTTCTTTCCTAACATTGTGGTTTGTATCATGGACAAAGAAACAAACCCATTTCTTCCCTGCAGAGAAACACCCCGAGGAAATGGAAGAACAGGAAGGACAGAAGCGTGCAAGAGGGAAAGAAAGGAAGTACGGTAAGATCAAAATAGCAAGGAAATAAGAAAATATGAGAAGAAAAAGGAGGCAAGGAAAGACTGTTGGAGAAGAAAAGATGTAACACAAAGGAAGGATAGGTGGAAAAAGAGAAAGTAGAACTCACATAGGGAACAAGTGACAAGAGGAAAACAAAGTAGGGAAGAAAACTAGAAGCAATGAAAAAAAGAAGCAATAGAAAAGATGTCACAAGAAGAAGATAATAGAAAAGAATAAGAAAATAGGAAAGTGGAAAAGAAAAGAAGGAAGGAAAGACAAAGAGTGATGATGGAAGGAAAGGAGGAAACATGAAAGAAGAATATCTAGAAAAAGGGAGAAAAAAGGATAGAAGACACATAGAAGGGAAATAGGAAAAGAGTGACTACAAGACACAAACAAAGGAGAGTAAACGGACAGAAGAGAAAGCTCGTAGGACAGAAGGGGTTAGGAGAAGGGAAGGAGGGAAGCACTATGCAAAAAAGGAAAGAAAGAAGGAGATAAAAGTGTTTCCTGGAGGCTTTTCTCTCCGTGGCTCTTTGCTGTCAGCTCAGCCTCTTTCTTGGCTCCCAGGCAGGAATGTGGTTCTTTGTGAGGTTCTGTTTGGGCTTCTGCATGGGGTTGTGTGTGGGGTTGTGTGTTGGGTCGTGTGTGGGGTTCTGGTGGGGGGGGTCTTGGTGGGAGGGGGTGGGGGGGCCTCTTGTTGCACCACGCGGAGGATTTACAGCCGTATTAAAGGTGCATTATGTGGCTTTTGGGCTGATGAGGGCTGTGCAGTTATTACCAGGTGGGAATGTGGTTAGACGGCATGTCGTGGATTAGACCCAATTTGGGGTTGGTTACACCTGCCCCCCCCCCCCCTCTCTTCTCTCCTCCAAAAAAACACCACAAACCAGGCTTATCCCGATCAGGAAATGAACACATTAGGCTGAAAGAGAAAAGTGTCACAACACGCAGATGGGAGGCTGAATGAAGCGTAGACGGAGCGAACAGAAACAAATCCACACGGCTTAAGAAAGCTGAAGGGGGAGGAGTCGGAGGCTTCCTGTTAAAATGTTATTACAGCTTGTTGGGCCGATAAAGAAACGTCTCGGTGCACTCTGAGGCCAGCGAGGTGAGCAGCTGTGGTGGGGAACATATAGCGAGTCTGCCACATGCCCACGGAAGTACTTCTGAAACAGGGTCAATGTGCTCTAAGCAGCAGGTCTTTACTGGAACGGGGAAGCGTTTCGGCGGTTTGGTCTTTTCCTTTGGAAAACAAAAGCCAGACAACACACCCGATACCAAGAGGACCCAACAAACCATCGTTTCTGTGCTCAAACGTTAATGGCATAAAAGAATCAATGGAATGCAGTCTTGAGCAGGTAAAACTAAGATTTAAAAGTGGAACTAAATGATAAAATAATGAATCAACAAGCTTATGAATTCATAACTAATGGTGTCAGAAAGGAATTGAGCTTCAGAACTCGGCCACACGTGTCAAAGATCTTTGCCTTACTTGTTTAAAGACAAATTAGACTGCAAACCATGTGTTGGTCCCCATTTATTTCCATTCAGTGCAAAAATTGAGAGGAAATGAATGGCGCACCAGTGAATAGTAAAAAAGGTGAAAATTCAAGTATCAAGCCTCTGAAGCTGATTTTTATAGCACATAGAAATATGTGGCAATGACTGGTAACATTTGCCAAATTTAGATGAATGTTTCTTGAATGCATTCAACCTAAAACAGGTGAATGAAATTCGTAGTGGCTCTATTAATATTCAGCTGTTGCCTTCAGGGTTTTTAAACGGTCGTCGACGGCAACAAAGACGACTGTGAAAAAAAGCCGAACAGAGACGGACAGAAAACATCTTCATGGAACATTTCTTATTTGGATAAAATCCCCTCAGAGGGTTACTGGGCAGGACGGCCGAGAGGGGAGAGAGGGGGAAATCAGCCCTCCCCCATCCTCCCCCATCCTCCACCCCCCTCAGCCGGAGCCACGTATTGAAAAAGAAAACACTTTGACTATTCATAGATCAAAGACGCATCTTGATACGTGCAAATGCCTCCGACTAGGGTGGCATGTGGATGCTAAATTATGAGCTGCACACACACACACACACACACACACACACACACACACACACACACACGCAGACAGTTACTTATAAGTCACTTAGAATTAAAAAGGTTAAGATACAGACAAAAGCTCTTTGTACTAACTACTAACTAATACTGTCGCTGCTCACGGATCAGGATAAATGAGGGTTAATGGTGAGTTGATCTGCTTTAGTAACAACATTAATTATTCCCACTGAACAGGCAGATTGTCGCTATATTTTTTCAACATGAATCTTCCTTCAAGACCTTTTTACACCTGGGAGTGTTTTCTGGATACAGAGGAAACTGTTGTTCCCAACACACTGATTCAGACAGACAGATTTGGAAAGTTCTGCGTGGAAAATTGTTCAGCCACAGATGCAGATTAGTCCCTTTATGTAAGAAAATCCAGACATTAACAACTCAATCCAGACCAGAAGGACTTGATGAGAAGGATTGGTATTACATTTTTATTCTCTCGGTTCTTCCTGTGTGATATCAGGTGTTTTAATCACCCAAATATGAAGACATAATATGATCAGGACTATTTTCATCACAGGACCGATGCTCATCTTGGTACTCGCTATCACCATACGCAGCATCTGGGACGTGTGTGAGTCCAAATGAACCACAGTGAGGGGTCACAGCTCACTGGGGGGTTTTTAATGGAAGTCACCGGCACAGAGCAAGAAGCCCTGTCATGCTGTGATACACTCACAGAGATTTGCTAAGAACTTTTTCAAACATTTTGTTGATCTTTCAAAAACAATGAACGTGAGCTTCTGGTTTGGATAATTGCTGTAAAAAAAAAAAAAACGCAAAGAGAAAAAGCGTTTGCAGGAGAGTTTCTCCCTCAGCTGCGCTGTCAGAAAATCTCCATGTCAAATCTTCCACATTTAAACCCTCCAGCTCCGGGCCCCCCCCACTGAAGGGAACCCGTATCTACGGGCTGTGCATTGGTGCACCAGCTGCATTGCTTCTTTTTTTAATATATATAAACACATAACATTGTTCAGGGGTCTGAATACAGCACATTGTTTCTTCTTGGAGACGGTCCAGGCGAACAGGTTTTTGTCTCCAAAAGCGCCCCCAGCCGCTCTGCAGCCAAACCTGTGAGCCCCTACGCCCCCCCCCTCCCCTCAATCTCCCTCTGCATCTGAGCTCAGTTCTCACTGCAAGACGGCCCCTTTCTAGTTATTATATAGTCAGGTTTTCCTGAGACGTTATTGGGACGACAAGCGGCTGCCGGGTGGACGATGTGTTCAGCCTCCACACACACACACACACACACACACACACACACACACACACATTCCACAGTGGATCTGCAGCTCTGGATGTTGGTTGCAGCCCACATACCAACATTCCTCTCAGCCCAGTACAGCGTTGCAGTTTCCTGAGCCGCGCACACACCGGGGCCTCCGCCGTCGCTTCACACTCTCCAACCAAATCCCACTTAACGAGTCACTTGGTTTCGCATTCAGCCTTAAAAAATGTGCTTTTCTGCCGGCGGGGTGAGATAATCCCTCCTGTTGTCAGCCTCCCCTCCGCTCAGGAATTTTTTCTGATATGAGCCTCAAAACAGAATAATCCTGTTTCTGCATCTGTGTCGAGAAGAATACTGACACCGGCTGATTCATATGGAAACATGAGATGGTGAAAGGCTGGCGGCGGGTTTTTCGGGGACTGTTTAACGAATAATTAAAACGTTGTAGCGCTTCTTAACCGGTTCTCGCTACACATCTTTTGCAACCTGATTTTTTGAGACTTCAAATGAAAAGAAATGTGACCTTTTTTGGTCAGCGGGTGAATGTCGGTTTTTGTGCAGCTTTTGTTCTTTCAGTCAGAAGGTAAAAATGATGCAGAATCAAAAGCTGTATTAATAAAAGACGATTTGTAACATGTGAGAGTATCTCAATCTAATATCTGTTGCTGTTGCTTATTTTAGGACAATAAAACATTTAAGGACAAAGATTTTTGGACAATTTGTGCACCGCAAACAATATTCATCATATTTGAGCTTAAATAAACCCACTCTCTCATAAAATGTAAAGATATTCAACCTTTCTGATCTAATTATCAGAGGTTGGTGCTCCGGAAGGAAAAAAAGCAGAACACTGCGGTAAAGAACTCAGAAATGTCCATTTAAAGGAGAGAAATGTTCATTTAAATGCATTAAAAACATAAAGTCAACAAGATAAAGAAAAGGTAAAGTTTTCACAACCCAGAGGTGATTTTCAGCTCCTGTAACTGCTGTTTACATTCTGTTTATGCTTCATGTGCATTTCTTGATGAACAAGTCATTTCTTTTCACATCCGGCCTCCTAAATAACAAAAATGTTTCTACTTTTCCAAACGAGCCGAAACTTTGCCAGTT